AGGTGCTTAAGATGATTATCCATCAGCAAAACACAGAGCAGAACTCACAACATGAAAATCCCAACCATCTCCACTGCTGAAACTGCAGAGGACTCAGAGCTCTTTATTGAAGTGGCAACCGAGGCCCACGGAAATCCCAGACATATACGTCAATTCTTACAGCAGAAAGCTAAAACAGATTCTAGTTTTAACATATCTAACATGAGGTAAATACTTTGGAAGTATTTATTTTCCCATTTCTCTGCCGACACATCATATTTTTACTAGCCAAGGACAGAAAATAAGTCTTTACATTTTTCTAAGGTGATAAAAGAAATATATGTGGAATACGAGAGGTTGCCAAGGTAAAAAAAAAATGGATGAAATGAAAAATGGTTTGTGATGAAGAATAAAAAGAGGGACATGCTATTCTCCTAAGAGCTTCCTTACATCTGTTTTGGATAGCGGGCTACCTCACAAGTTTGCTTGTGTAAAGTGAACACAGCTGACAGAAGTTTCCAGTGTTCTCTTCTGGTTTAACTGTATGTATCACATATCAGGATATTCAAATAAAAGTGGGAAGTCTGGTGACAGAACTTAGACAAAATCAAATTTCATCCAAAACACTTGTAGCTAGTCGACTATTAATGTCCTTCTCTTTCTTCTAATTATTATTGAGTTCTTGCCAAAATAACTTAGTAAAGGAATACCTCTATAGTAAACTCAATTATTTCTCTTCAAGATGTATTTGTTTTTATTTTATGTGTATGAGGGTTTGCCTGCAAGTATGTATATTCACCACATGTGCGGCTGGTGTCAATGGAGGTCCGAAAACAACTTTGGATCCCCTAGAACTGTAGTGGCCGGCAATTGTGAATTGCCATGTGGGTGCTGGGAACCGATTCAGGTCCTCGGCCGGAACAGTGAGCACTCTGCTGCAGCTGCTGATAAACCAAATTCTTAAAAATGTTTGAGGGGCTACACAAGGTGGCACATGCCTTTAAATCCCAGCATTCTGGAGACTGGTGTCTGTAAATTCACTGACTGCTAGATCCTCAAACTGAATTCCAAACCATGCAGACCTACACAGTAAGGCCCTGTCTCCAAAGATTTTGGAAATTTGAGATAAACATATTAGAAAAAGAAAGTAAGAAAGAAAAGAGAGAGGACAATTTAATCTTTTATAGGGTTTGAGGTCTGATAATTTGCTACCCTAAAATAAGTAAGCACATAAAATTAGAGGAAAGGTTGACCACTGGCCCATGTGAAATATGTTCTTTCCTCAATTAGGAAGCATATTGCCAAAAATCTGAGAGAAGTTGATGCTATTCTAGACCCTGGATCTCATAAAGAGCCTTCCATCATACAGAGCCTAATCCTAACCCAGACTAAGAAAAATGATAATAGAGCACGTAAAACTCGGTGGCACATTCCCCTTCACTCTGAACAAACACAATGAAAGAAAATGAACTGGGCAATAAGCCAAGAACTACAAAGAAAATCCATATATATGCCTTGAAATAGGATGGAATGTATCTGCACACACCCCCTCCTTCTCTCTGTCTGTACATTCAGGGATGGGGGACATGTACCAGGTCTGGCTGTACTCCAGAGGTTGAGGATAAAGGATTGTGATGAATTCAAGGTTAACTTGGTAAACATGGTGAGAACAAGGCAAACTGGCATTTCATAGCAAGACTGACACAAAAATATAAACATAGGGTGAATAATAGAATACCTGTATCCCTAGTGTTCTAAAGTAGCATAGATAGTTATCAACATGGGCTCATACAAGTGGGATATTCACTAAAGTAACTGTATTGTACACACTGAACAAGGCACTCTACACATCCTAACTATATGTGGTCACTTGACCAATGACTGCTGTACTTACATTGAATTTTAGGAGGCAACTAACTGATAAACAAAAACCTGTGTGGTGCTTCACACAGCAATGCCTGGCTAGTGGAGAGGAACAAATCAACAGAACAAACTTCCCAGCATAGTGCCATAATGTAACTACTACACTATACAGCTAAACAAACTGGCTCCTTAAATATCTAGTTCTTTTTCTTCTCTGTCTTCTAATCCAAGGTTTTTCGCCATTTCTTCCCTTGAATAAAGATTTCTACTCTAATAACATAATATTTTGAATTTTTCATCTTAAATATTCGGCAGTTGAAATTGCATTCCTGTAATTATAATTATAACTAATAGACCTTCCATTTCCCATGTCATAATTAATGTCAGGTTTTATTAGAGCACAATCATGCTGTCTTTTCTCTTTCAAGACATCTTTTATTGTCACAACATTTATAGTACATTGAATTAACTAATAAAGTATCCTAGAATCCATCTGAAGTGATACTTAATACCACAAGATTCTAGATTACTTGCTTAAAAAAACACATTTTTGTATTGTTTTAAAATCACATATAAAGTATTTCTTAATATGCTACTGGTTCAAAACCAGTAAGAAAAAGAGTAGTAGTGATTCAATGATAAATACATTAGAGTTCCTAAAAGGTTGTTTAATGTGCTCTTGGGAAAGATGAATGAGCTAACGGCAACAAACAAAATATCCAGAGATCATCCTTGTTGATTGCAATACATGACACATAGGGAGGAACAACTTCATAGCAGCAGAATGCATTTTGGTACCACAAATGAATGATTTTCTTCTAAGTCATATCCCAAAGTGCTTTCTTTTAATTCATACCAAAGCTCAATCTTTACATTTTAAGTATTCACATAAAGCTGAATCCTATAGGCAAAATGAAATTAGAATAAGACACACTGTGTAACTGAGTCATTTTAAAATATAATTGGGGTAGCATAAAGTTATTAGCTTCTCAAAAAGTAAGTATTTCTTGCAAGCCAGCTGCAACATAGCTGACACACTTAGGAAAACCCCACACTTAAGGCGGGATGCTGAACCATAACTTGGAACTCATAAGGAGCAAACACTGTGCTTCTGAGACACACAGTGCAGACTCTAATATCCACACTGCATTTTACCCACGGAAATGAAGTTAATCTCTTACAGTCCCGCCCCTTAAAGTTTTGTCTCCTAAGAATCCTTAAATCTCTTCCTGCTTGTTTCACATAGTATAAACACTGAATTCCACACTACACATACATGTATTTGCAAAATAAACATGAGGAGACATGTGGGGAATAAATCACAGAATCATGAAAGGATTTCATGTTACTCTTTTTCAGCATTATACATTTAAAAACAGAGTGAAAACAAAGTTTTCAACATAATATACAAGTCTCATTGGCTGACTATTTGAACTATTTTATGTAATTCCCATCTGTATTTTTTAAAAGTCATTGATGAATTCAACTGTACTGTAGCAAACGAAAATACAGTTAGAGGCAAGCATAATAGCAGCTAACAGAATTTGAATTTTCACAGACAGAAATGTTTCCTACCTAAAGTAAAGTCTGTTGTCTTGCAAGGTATTTAGTTATGAAGACCCAATGGTAGAGATGAAAAGTCTCTAAAAACCTCAAATCACCAGCAAGAATTTCAAGTTCCCAAGATGCCTGCCAACAGGCTTATTTTTCTAAATTGTAAACCATCTATGAAATAGATATTGACTCTTTCTTTCTCTTCTTTGAAAATATACCTTGAATACAACCCAAAAGTCCAGATCAAATTAGCTTTTAAGAAAAGTTCTTAAGGTTAGCCCTGGAATAGGATAGAACCAATGTTTCTGCATAGACTAAGCCAACTACCTTCCTATCCCTCAATCCAATGTTTCCCCTGACCTAGCAAAGCCTGACACAACACGGGTACTCCTGGTTCTGCCCCATGCTTTCTTAAACAGCTGACTCAGGGAGACCCTCTGGACCTAGGTGGGGTCAAAAACAGATGCTCTACTCTCAAGAAACCAAGCCTGGGATGAATCTCCTTAGGCCCTAGGAGGGTCAGTTAGACATGAAACTCAGTGTTGTTGGGAAATTACTGTGTTTTCAGGATGTTGAGGCATGCCATAGAGTAGCCAATGTCCTCGGTTCTTTGATTTCCTGTCCTTTGAGGCTAGAAGCTAAGGGAAAGCCTCAAAGTCACAGGACCATATTGTGTTGAACTCTAAGGGACATTCATAGTAAAGCCAGTTGTTTTATTCAACTTATAATCTGGAAGCAGCCTTCTGCCCTCTCAAGCAGGACTCAGCATTTATTCGCCTGGTGAAATAGTTCTTTCATGCACTTGCATCCAGATGGAAGGAAATTTCAATGTACTCAAGAGTCTCTACATCTAATAGCTACAATAATGTTTGAGTTAAAAATTTACAGATGTATGGTGCCCTCCTTATAAAAATTATCCTTTACTTCACACATCTTTTCAAAATACCTAGAAGAGTAAAAAGCTTATGTTCTAATTTCACAGATTTATAGCAGGAACAACTCAATAGAGATGAGTTAGGTAAGTTTTTGAGTTTCAAAATTAAATGTTGGCCAAACTTGACAGTATCATTTGAAACCAACTTTAAGTTTCCTTTACCTTCAAGAAGACCCCTTTCCTCTGTCAGATGGTATGCAGTAGAATTTTCTAGCTCTCCGAGACAAAGACAAATCCTATGAGAGAAGCTTAAATCTGTATTTTTTGTCTGTTCCCTTTCTAATATGTAAGAATTCTTCCTTTAGGTCCACAGGTATATTTTTAAGTTGCCAAGTGCAAATACCTACCATAAAAGACTATTACTTTGCAAGCATTACTTTTAAATAGCATTATCATAGCAAAATAAAAAGGGAAAACACAGGATCAAGAAGAAATTACAATTTGCTGCTCCAGGTTGAATATATGTAATTTTATACATTGTTCTTTCTTTCAGACACTATTTTGATCACCATCTCATGGCAAAGTCATTTGATAACCATATGGGATAAAATCAGGAAGATACCACTTACAAATCAATGGTCAGAAGTCACCCAGTCTGACAACACTAATCAAATCAACAAGGGAGGAGAAAAGATGATTTACATATAATTTCATCCAAGGATAGGCCTACCTGAATCATATGCAAAGTCTCTGGGTTCCTGTTTGATCATCAGAGGAGGGGGGAAGCTTTGGCTGGCTGCACCTCCAACCATGGTGTTATGTTCATAGACGGGGTCATGGTACTCCTGCTTAAAGCCTTGTGGTGGGAAGGGGATGTTTGGCTCAGACATCTGCCGTTGGTACATAGGACGCCCTTCCCTTGGCAATGTCGGCAAAGGAGGAAAAGAATTACAGGGTTCGGAAAGCTGGCGACGAAATCTGGAGAAGAGAGATGGTCTCAGATGAGATGGTAACACAACATTGTCTTTAAGGGACTGACATAATGCCTAACTGCCAGTGAGTAGTTAATACCCATCGCCCAACGTGAACAGACTTAATGAGCCTTAGACTTCTCTTTCTTAGAACAGTAGTGCTATGATTTTTAAATCACACGATGACGTGTGCTCCCCCTTCTCATCCATCCATGGCAAACACTTCAGCAGATCGTGCAATTAAAGGTGTACTGCCAGTAGCTCTAGGACAATGAACTGTTTGGAATAAATATGAACCCTAACAGCTAAAATGACCAATTTTAAGCTAATTGGATCATTTACATAACTTCTGAAAGAAAGGGTTCTCAAATAATTGCACATAAGAAAAAGCAGGGACAACAGGATCTGATCTCAAACGGCATTATTTCCCTTCAGATTCTGTCACCAAACTAACCAACAGCCAGACAAAAAGCTACTCACTGCCTTTCCCTCCACAGCCAGGCCCTTAACTTCTTCAGCAGAGCCCAAATTAACTATGTGTTCTTGTAACAAGTACATTTAGGCATGATGGGAGCTTACGTCTCTTTACTAAAGACTATCTCTGTGCTGTCCACGAACCCCAAATTGTTGAGTTGATTAAAAACTAAGCGTATGTACACAGCCAACCATGAAAGATGGAGATGATAATACGCAGAGGCTGAGCAGGTCTGGGGTCAGCCAGGCTGCAAGGACAGGAGGAAGCTCTAAGGTCTAGGCCGAGAGCTAGAAGTGAGGCCCGTGCTCCTTCGTTCTCGGTAACGATTGGTTAATCACGTAATTGTTCTGGTCTGTGTATTTCATCCGTAATATCATTGACCCACCACAAAGATGTGGACTAATTAAAGATTTAAAAGTACTCTAAAAAATGCCGCAGAAGTGCTTAAAAAATAACCTCTAAAACATATCCATAAGCAAATATTAGCCTATTAACCCCCCCACTAAAAGCATTCCCGAGACTTTAATTTTGAAAGTTAGCATTTAATTTTAGTAATGTTAAATGAAAATAAGATAAAAGCCAAAGAATGGCAAAGCAACTGCTTTAGCATTTCGAAGCATACTGGATGCCAGGGCTTAACTCTAGGTATACCGGCTGCCATGAAAAGCATGGAAATTCCACTTACACCTGCACAAAACAAACTTAGAAACTCGGATATTGTGAAACAGCTAGGCTGGCTGGCACTGCATTCATTTCCCTTCTCTTGCTTATTTCATTAGCCAAAAAAAGAAACAGAAATTATCATTAGGAACTGTCAAGGAGTGAATCAGAAAATTGTAACTTGACGATAAAATAAGAAGCTGGCTCACTTGTGAAGCCTTAAAAGGAAGCTAATAATGCTTGCACGGAAAGCTTTGTAAGGAAGCGAGCCATTTGCTTTTACGAGTCAACCTGATTTGTACTTGTTCCTGCTGGAGGCCAGGCATGCGTTGGTGACACACTTCCCAGGAAGATGTATGGTCTGGGTATCATTCTGGTCAGCCACTGACCAACGGGAAAGAGAAAGAGACGGAGGGAAAAAGTTTGGTGGCTGAGGACAGTATGCTAACACACCGGTGGGTGAAGAGAATCTGGGTATGCATCGGGGACACTGCTGAGGAAAACAGACAGGTCTCTTGCACAGTGGGTCCATAAAAAAGTGCCACCGGGCTGGCCTGAGGTGTGCAGTGAGGCTGAGGATAGGAAATGGAGTTCAGGCCAACTGGCTGTACACCGTTCCCAGAGACAGGTGGGGTGCCAGGGCTGGAGGTGTCTATCTGGGGAAGGGATCTGTTCCCAGAGCAAATTTGCCATTTATAACCAAGGGACTGCCATTTGTTGGCCAGAGCCCTCTAAGAAATCCTCATCAGAAACATAAGGTTGCAGAGATTTTCCTGGGATTGGCCAGCTGGTGCAGTCCTCAAAACTCAGTGGGGGGGCTGTGGGAAAAGACCCCGAGCTTCCCTCTTGTAGTTCCGGGCCGGCTGTTCTCAGTCTCAAGTACTTGACTTCAAGTTGAGATACCAAAATGGATTTGGCAAAAGCATCTCCAGTTAGTTCATATAAAAACGAGCACACTACTTACTCAGCAGTCACCTTGCCTTAGAAATAACCAGCCTGATCGGGGACAGATGACATAACCCATAATCCAGCACTCATTTCAATGGGGGGGGAGGGCTTGGTGATGATTAATTCGGGGAAGGCTTCAGCAGAGGACAAAAGCAACCTTGCTAGTGTTTCATCGCCCCTGCTTTTTTTCTTTTTTGGCCCTGCACAATGTGCTTCTGTTTGATGGCCCACCCTGCAATAAGCATTCTTTCCTTCGTATTTACAAAACTGTTTACACAGATGCTCACAGCATTTCCCTCTCAATACATCTCAAGTCTATGGGGCAAGAAGGGAAAGACAGCAGGCGGCATTTAGTGGGAGGGGAGCTAAGGGGAGGGGATACGGGGTGGGGGACGGGAGCAATGGTAGAAAACCTGACCGGCTTCACACAGGGAAATATGATTTCATCCTATTCCTTTAAAGCAAGCAGTGACTGTATTTGCGGCTGAGACTCAGGGTTCCTGTATGCATCCAGATTTGCCTGCGGCACACCTGCTTCCTCTGCTGTCTAGGAGGAGTCCTTTCAATCAGCTATTTCCAGAGATGTACCTCAGTCAGTCATGGTTGTAGCTCATGGATACATGTTTGGGGTCTGGGGGAGGGGTCCAACTGTTAACGTATTCCTATATTAAGAATCTAATTATACAGCTTTTCAAGTAAAGGGCAGATTGGAAACAGAAAAGCAATAGAAACTTTAAGCTCTGAGTTCCCTAATGATTTCAGTCCTACTTGTGCTCTTGGAGTCTAACCGGCTGCAGATATTACATAGTGGAGCGTGATGAACATTTCTTTCCAGTTAGTACTCAGTGCTCTCACAGAGACAGTCATACGTGAGCTCATATTTTGTCATCAACTCAGTACACATTTTAGATAAGGTCTTTTTCTCCCATGGATACTACTGTCAACCATTTTCCAGGAACACACTGCTTATGGGGGGAAAGATGGAGGGATGCACTTAGGTGGGTAGAGACACCCGGGGTTCTAACTCACATACTAAGGCGGTACATCCCCAGTGTTGTGTTGACACCTGGACGTCTCCATCTATACAAACGAACAGTTTTCTAACACAGTCCTCTTACTAGCTCCACACACCTGTTCTTCCCTGGCTCATATCTAAGTAACGCTCACTTGGTGTCTGTCTCTTTGAAGCACACTCTTAGTCAGTCCGCAGTCACGGGTCTACTGGCATTAAATAGTCATTGAAAAACAAAGCAAACGGATGAATCAAATAGGTTCTATTCCGTAAGACTACGTAGAACCAAATAATCCAATGTAAGGTAATGAATCTAATTTCCTAAGCCACCTACTAAAATGAGTCTGCTAACTTTGCGGAGCAAGTGCCGCACATGTTCAGGAAGAGAAGCATGACCTGATGTAAAGTTTAAGTGATTTAAGAAGTGAAGGAGAAACGTTCAAACGCCAGCCTACAGATTGATTTTCCATTTTAGCAGTCAGCTTAAATGTTTATAAAAGAAATGTTTGGAAATGATCGCCACAAATTTTCTTAGACAGTTAGGGCAAGCTTTATTGGAACTGTTGGTGTAGATGTGCAAAACGAACATGCTTACCTGAAAACGCTATAAGTCTTCACAACAGCCAAGAGCAATGCCCGCCACAGAAGCTGACACACTGGTGGGGGGGGTTTGCCTGCTTTGTCTGCAATGGCATCTGCAGCTTACCTGTGGTCCATGGGGTAGGTGCTGTCTGGTATGGACTGAGAAGGAGGAAGGTGAGCTGGGAAGGCCCGGTCAGGTTTCGGAGTATGAGTTGTGTTTGGAGATGCATGATGTAGCGGAGACACTGGAGTACTGGATGGCGTCGGGGGGTTGGAGGGCCTCATTCCCACATGTGGCTTCTGATCATAGGCACTGCCCAGAGAACAAAAGGGAGGACAGGATGCGCTGGAGTCACTTTTAAAGGTTCAGGGAAAGGAAACGTATCTTCGGCATAAGTGATAAGGAGGCTAAAACCTTTGGATTTTGTTTTTTAATTCTAGAACTTATAAACTTCAAAGTTCCCATGCCCTTAAACAGAAAATAGAATATGAAATCATATAGCAATGTGAATAATTGTAACATAAATTTTTAGGACACGGACAGCTTGGTTAAGGAAGACCCCTGCGGCAGAGGGCACTTCACCCGCATCTATTCTCAACATATGTACGCTTTCAGAAAGCTGAGCAGATACAGATCCTTTCCAAGTCATTAAGTACCTGGTCCTAATTCTCCCTTTGTACTACATTTTAAAACAAGACCTAATATTAGCTTAATAAGAGAGAACACATTGGATTTGCCTTTATTTGTAGTAGCATTTTAAGGCAGTGCTATTGCCTTTGTGGAGGTTTTATATTAAATAAATGATGCTTGGTCTTTGAATTCCTCTCATGAAATAATAAAGATTAATGAGGTGAATTAAAATGTCTCATATATATTTAAACTTTCTTTGATTATGTGTACAAAATAATATTAAGAATAAAATCCTATTATCTGAGAGTAACTTCCACTCTCAATTACAAAGCAAAACAAAAAAAGTAAGCTGTTTGTTTTATATTATGAATTTAAATTGCTCCCCAATGTGTGGCTTTCTGGAATATGATTGAACTAACATCTCCAATCTAGAAAAAAATCAGATTTTACTTTCTGAACAACAGCAAAAAATATATTTCTTTGGAAAGTATCTAGATTTACTCTTCAAACAACAACAACAACAAAAAATCACTAATATGAGCTGGGTAAGGTGGTGCATGCCTTTAAACACAGCAAAGGCAGGCAGTTCTCTGTGAGTCAACTGTGTCTATAGATCTGTAGACTGAGTTCTACACCCCAGCCAATGCTACCAAGTGAGATCCCCCTCCATATATATATGCATCTTAAAAGAAATACTTCTGTTCAGATTAATGTATAATCACTTACTTTCTCTATTACAACAACAGAATTATACCCACAATTAAATATGCTTTCCAGAAGTGTAGGGACAAGTGTTACATTCATCTACTCCAGCTTTAACGCAATCTGTTCTCAAATAAGGAACACTGGGAAGGTAACTGATAGAGGAGAAAAGAGAGGAATTGAAAGAGAGGTAACAGGGGATAGATTTCATCAAAACACATTATACATTTGTGTGGGATTCTCTCGTGTTTAGTTCTATGCATGCTCTTTACTGATATTACTGAGCAAAAACATACTCCTTCATAAAGTGGCTTGGTTGAGGCTTTCCCATAAAAAGGAAACAATTGGCTAACTATTCTAAGATATCACTTTCTTCCCCCGTAAGGTGTTATATTAAATGTTATTATTTAGAGACAGATGAAAGTACTAGAGTGTATCATATAAACCCTATATGCTGAGAGATGCTGGTCTCCAGAAAAGTCCTCCAGATTGTCAGCTAATTCCTTAACTGTTAACTTATGGATCAGAGACATATTGTATCAATGTTTTTATGGTCACTGGAATGATCAGTGTTGAATTGCAAAGGGAATCCTACATCTAACTGTTCAATGCATGGAAATTCTCCACTGTTAACATAACTTTAATGTGGATACATGCCTTAAGGACAAAATGCAAACAACACAACTAAATCTCCAAACCTTATGTGGACTCAATATGCCCTCATAGTTCAATTTTACAATAGATCTGTTTTATACAACTTTGTAGTTTCAACTGAGCCCATAATTTCGGGCTCTAGTAAGCCTTTTAAGAAGTCGGATATTAAACAATAAGTTTCAAGAACTAACAAGAACAAAACATCTCAACATTGGTCAGTTGCCACGAGATAGTACAATTTTCTTGAGTCTCACATCTCACAGATGCGTTTGCAACAACACAAGATTGCCCCGGATCCCAATGCATTATGAGCTTGAACTGATACACCTTATAAAACAGTGCACATATTTGGAATCATTTTGCATATGTTTTCAAACCATCTCCCTTTAAGAACTAAGTTTCTACTATAATCAAGACTAATAGTCAATAGCTAGAGCCAATTTTTTTATATGCAATTAGAGGCCAAGATGAAGAGTAAAAGCATGCAATTCACTATGAAGGGTCTTTAATGAACACATGTGTTATCAAATTTTCTAGCAAATGAACAATGTACTCAGAATGCACCACCCTTTATTATCATCTCAAGAACAACTGGCTTTTTAATGGATAATAGCCTTGGCTAGGCATTATAAAATTCTAGTTTTATTGCAATTGTCCATAAATGCATCTTATAGATCATCTGTAAAGCCTATCAGATAACTAATGCACTGCTTTTGCTTGCCAAATGTTATTTTTTTTCTGACAAACTATCTACCTAAAGTAAATAATGCATTCACTCTGATGGGAACTTCAAAAGCTGCCTGTGCCAAACAAGACCCTCTTTTCAAGCCCAAGATGCATCACTACAGTAGAACAATTGATGACTGAGAATTACTATTTAAAATGATGCTAAGGTGTGTGATTGTATGGAAAATGGGTCTTTAGAGTTCTGCTGAAGACATTACCTAACTAGTCTATTATATAACGAAGATGTAACCCCACAAAAATGACCTGAGATTGTCATATCATTCTACATGTTGTTTCAAGATGTGGTGCTGCTCTCCTTATGTGCATCGAGCTGCTTACCTGACACTGTACAGGCACTTTTCTCCATAGCTGAACTTAAAGGGTTGCTCTTGGCTGCAGGCAGACCCGAGTTCTGAACATGGGCTGTGGGGTTCTTTCTTGATTTTCAGTGGTAGGCCATGAAAAGCCACTAGAAACAGAACAAAAATATCCGTAAAGATTCAATTCAATTAGGAATTAAGTCTATTAGTCTGTTTTACTTCTCTTATTTAAAGTATCATTATTATTTCATAGTAATTTATGTCTGTAAGAATAATAGCATGTGATAGTCCATGAGACAGAAAGGATTACGGAAATTTGGGCTCTGCAGCCCCCTTTATCTGCTTTTTTTTCTTTGCTTAAAGTAGATTGAGCCAGTAGTAATTGGCTTTGCTGATACTAACAATTATAGAAGCTTGGTTTTCTGAAAAGGAGTTTTAAACATGTCATAAAGATTTCTAGTGACTAAACAGAGGGAAAAAATACAACTCCTAGTCAAGGCTGGAGTACTGCTCTGGGTGTTTTTCAGTAGTAATGATTTCATGTAGGTCCTAAGGAAAGCCACAATAGCATGGGAAGAGGAAAACCAACATCTTTAAAGCCAATGGTTATTTTTAAAACAGAAACTAAACTACCTGCCTATCTATTTACCAAAACTATGAAGATAAAATGCAGGTTAGTAATTAGTCACCTATTATAATTAAACTTGTAGTCATATTAGGCATGTTTTCAAAATCAAGAGATATAGTTTAGACAGACAGGTCATCTTCAAACACTTCAGAGATCTACAGAATATGGCATTTTAAATGTTTTGATAACATAGGTTCTTTTTTTTAATGAGAATGAGACATGTCTGCCCCTAGCAGCACCAATCTATGTCAGAGAAGATGACGGGCACCAAAGAAATTCCACATGGAGTATACTTTCTTTGTGGCAAAGGTAGCCACTTGTCAGGAAAGTGTTCTTCCCTCAACTGCTGACAGTATGCTGTCCAAATTGGACAAACAGGACACCAAAAAGAGTGACTGCCAATCCTTGCGAAGACAAAGCGGACAGTCCTTCATAGAAAAATCTGTTGAATATTCTAGGCCTGTGGGCTGAAGATGGATGCCCCAACCTTACAGAGGAACTCTGCGTGACTGTCCAGGCAGTCAGATATTTCTGTCATTTCTCACAATTTTTGGAAGTCATTTGTTTGCACTTCCTGCTTACTCAGTTAATATTACTTTCTTCTCAGGTCTCTGATGAAGTTGAAGACTTTATAGTTATAGTTTTCCTTGATACCAGATTCAGAAAAGAAATTCATTAAAGAAGTGTAAAGTGCATAAGCTTGAGAGACATTAAAGACAGTTTTGGAAAGGAAAGTTAGAAAAGAAAGTGAATTGATACAACATTTTGGACTCATCAAGATAGGATAGATACAGTATTTTCTCTCAATTTGTCAACTAATGAACTAGACATTGTTGATGTATTTATTGTCTGTATATATTGTATAAAGTTACTGTACTTATTGTATATAGTTTTTCTTATATTAGTTATAACTTTTTTATTTTAGACAAAAAACAGGAAATGTGGTGATATTTTATTTATGTTATAACAAATAAAGCTTACCTGAAGGTCAGAGTGCAGAGCTAAGCAACTAGTTAGCCACAGAGACCAGGCAGTGGTGGTACACACCTTTAATACCAACAATCAGGAGACAGAGGCCAATGGATCCCTGCTAGTTCTAGGCCACCCTGGCCTACATGAGGTTGAATCTGTCTAAAAGAGAAAGTGCTCACACAAAGGTGATCCCAGAACTTGGGATCATATGCCTTTAATCCTACCACTATGGAGGTGGTGACAGGAGTTATGGCTGGGTGGATAGAAGAATATAAGGCAGGAAGAGACAAGAGCTCAGGCAGTCTGAGGATTTGTAGCTACGGATGCAGTCTGACGGCTTAGTCGGAGATGTAGTATGAGGACTCATAGAGACAGGATCTCCCCTTTGGTCTGAGATTACTAGTCGCTGGCTGCTCTGTTTCTCTGATCCCTCAGCTTTCACCCTTTGATAGATGACTCTGAGTTTTTATTATTAAAACCAAAGAGAAGTCATGCAACAATAAAAGATACATGAAAATTTTTCATCACATGAGATCCTCCATGAAAATTCTGTATCAAATGGTCTTTTTCATATGTTTTTGTGTGTAGTGATGTACAGTTATACCTCATATACATTCATTTATGCTGAGTTTAATATAGGTTATGTCATAAAATGTACACTACAAGAAATCTATATATGTATATGCTCACATAAGTGTGCTTATTTTATGACTATAAAATCAACTAACAAATATCACTGTATTTTTAAGTCTGGTAAGCACTCAAGAGTTCAATATATTCTCTTTATATTTATTTCACTACTAAATGTCCATGATAAAAATTCTGATACATGGAAAAAAAAACCATAAAGGCATTCACAGTGCTCACTTACAAAAATTTTCCTCCTGTGTACATGTGTGATACATGTGTGTGCACTATTACTCATTCTTAGAAGAACTTTTTAATTACTTACTAGCTCTTTGAACATAGATAGCAAAATATACAAATATATACACCAATTTCTAGAACTTTGAATTAAAACCTAGGTTTTACATTTTCTTAAAGAAATCAATTTTCCCTCAAAGAAGTAACAAAGATCTGGGATTTAATTCACAAGAATAAAAATTTGTGAAGACCTAAGATGTCATATTTCTATATTTTTGCTCAAAACGTATGAAAAGATTACTAAGCAGCTTGCAAAATACACTTAACCCAAAAGAAAAAAATTAACAAATCAAGCTTTACTAAAATTAAAATTGTCTCTTTAAAGGCACCATTAGAAGAATGAAGGAAAAACCATGATCTCCATGATGCTTGCAACAGAAAGATCTCAAATAATTATTATTTAACATTAAAGGGTTTGCTTTACAGCAATACAAATGACCAACGTGAATGGACAAAACACGGACAAGCAATTCATAAAAGAAAATATCCAAATAGCAAGATGGAGGGAGTAACAAAACAAGCGAAAATGTAATCAAATATTGCTCATCAGGAAACTGACAATAAAATCACAAATTATAACCGAATACCCATTAGAAAAACTAAACTATAAAAGTTAGCAATACTGAGACTGAAGAAAGAAAATAACGGGAACTCTCATTCATGCTGCTAAGAGGATGGGCTGGTATAAGGATCGCAGAAAAGGGTGTGGCTACCTGCTAAGGTTCAACACAAATGTACCTTATGATCCAGTAATTATACTAATACATATTGTCATATATGCATGTGTATGCATATATGAGACAGGAGGGCATGTTTGTAGAAGTTTATTCATAAAAAGAAAACTAAAATGTTTTGAATATTCATTGGTGGAGATATGTCAGTGAAATATGGCATCTGCAGGCAGAGAACATCCAGAAATAGCAGGGAATAAAGTACCTTCCAAGGGGTCCACAAACATGGATGCTCTCACAGCTATGGGGTTAAACCTTGTAATTTCCAAAACAAAGCTGAGAGTGGAAAGACTGCCTTCCGTGTTTCGTGTGTGGTTTTGTTCAGAGCCTCAGTTAAATTAAATCTCTAAGGTGATCTGTCCGCTCAATGGCTAGTCTCTTCTCACAAATCGGACATGTGGACAAGAGATACAGATTGAAGAGAACATCGCGTGAAGCTGAAGGCAGAGATCAAGTTGAGGATTCTGAAAACAAGAAATATCAAAGACTGACAAGAAAGTGACAAATATTGGGGGGAAGAACTGTGGAGTGGATCTTCGCCATTCCTCAGAACCCTGTTCATATCTTCTCCTGGCTCTGTAGTCTCTGAAAACCAAGAGAGGCTGTATCTGCTTCTTAAAACACCCAGTACATGTCACTTCGTTATTGCAGCCTGTCCAGATTAATGCCTTTTCCCAGTAATTTTTTTCACCAAGTTGGCTGTGTGATGATTTTATGTTACAAAATTTTCTAGGGGATTACCATAGCTGCATAAATGCTTGGCAACACCAGTGTGCACTGCATGCAAATAGCCCCAGCACTTGACAAATCCATATAGATGCCAACGCTTGTAACATCTTCACCTTGTAGGTTCTCCAGTTCTAGGAGTGGAGAGCTTCAACTCTTTACATCTTCATTTTATGTGTGGGCGGCTGTTAATCACTGTGGACCAAGAGTTAATTCTGTCTTTACTAGTCAAGTCAAATGTCTAACCTGACAGATCTAAAGATACCCAGGAATTTTTAATTTGTTTAGTTTGGATTTTTTTCCAGGTTTTGGTTTGGTTTTCAATTTGTTTGGTTTTTGCTTTTGTTGTTTCTTGTTTTTAATTTCTGCATGTGAGAAACAAAACTTGAGCCTTCCATTTTCTGCACAAGAACAAGGGAGTTTTCTTATGCTCCTCGCTTTAGCTTGCCTGCCTACTGGGGATCTTAACTCATGGATGCAACATTTTTTATCTACCTTTACATGAGAGAGGCAGAGGTTCCCAGCAGAGAGGGCTGAGCTGGAAGCTGGCTAGGTATATTTCATCACAGGACTCGAGGCTTAGCGTCTGCTAATAGGAGGTTTTTCCAGATCATTGGCACCGGCACAAGAGAAAGCAGCGCATTCATTTCGTGCAATTTGCTGTACCTTCCCACATGGAGTCGGTGCATGTAAAAGGCTGTTAAGTACTAAATTATTCCTTATCAAATCACCATCATCTGGAGTCATGATCAACACTAATTAAATTACTTTCGCTGAACACGGCTCCAGCCTGCTGCAGAGGCTGCTTACAACTCCGCTTGCCGTGAGGTCCTCCCCGGGTCTGGAACACAGACCTGCAGGCATCGGCATTGTTTGTAGTTTAATTAAAGTGAATCTTTCCTTTTCCAAGTGAATTAAATCAAGTGAGTTAGCCTCTTCATTTCATTGACAAAGAAATGATGTTTTGAAATGATGCTTTATTCCTGGCTTCATAAAGTTTGAATCATTGATCTGTGTATGAAATTCACAGTTCATCTCAGGCCTTCCTGAAATAGGTCTCCTGTGCAAACTTTGAAGACCCACAGTTCTAGCAATCAGCTCTTCTAGGCCATGAGAACACTGAAGCGATGGGCCTTGCATTCTTTGCTTTGATGGAGCTTTGACCTTT